ATACATTAAAACCATTTGATCCATAGAGGTTCCCAACAAAAGTGAAGGTTTTGGGGAATGCCTGCATAACCTGTAGAACTACCTTTGCTGGTGAGGTACTCAGTCCAAAATGAGAAACCACTGCAAACAAATCACCATGAAGGAAATTCAGGAGATGGTACAAACAGGAGAATCATTCAAAACTGGAATTGAAAAATATAGTACTTTAAATTTAAAAACTCAATGGATAAATTAAAGAGATGAGACCAGCTAAAGATAATTGATACATTGAAAGTCTGATCAATAGAAAATATTAAAAAGGTATTAGTAAATACAGATAGTAGGATAGAAGACGCCAATTTAGGTCAAAGAAGTTTCATGAGGCAAGAATAGAAAGAATGCTATACACTGTATACAAAGGGTTACTGAAGGGAAAATTTCTAGAATAAAGACATGAATTTTTCAGAGTAAAAGATGATGCTGAGTCACAAATGCTACAAATTAAAACAAATCACAACTGGACACATTATATTAAAACACAACTAAACTTCAGAGATTAAAAATAATTTAAAACATCTTTTGGTACTTCTCCATATACTGTGTCCTTAACCTGTACACGTACTTTTTTCATTAACCACTTCATTCCTTTCTTGCCTTAACTAAAATCTTTCTGTCACCTCAGAGCTCTGTTTTAGCAAACACATTTTCATCTCCCATCCCAGATGTTATGGATGACCCAGTTTCACAAGCACATGTAGAAACAATTGTTCTTCCAATTTTTGTTAAAATTCCATCTTCTGAGATTATGGCATGTTATTATAGCACCCTTTCTATCTCTCACCATTGTTGTCGTCATTGATTCTCCTGGTTGTTATTTATCATTAATTTATAAATATTTGTGGGCAGGAAGTTCAATGAAATAGAAAATTTCAATAACTCTGAAAAATGGTCTCAAGTTGTTTATCTAATGTGATGATCCACTGACTTCAGTCTCTTTCAGTCAGTCTGGTCCTTTATCATTTATCCAGTATTGCTCAATCTGATCTTCTATCATTTACCCAGCATATAATTCAATTATACCAGACTTCATAATTTATTATGTAACTATTATGCCAGCATTTTCAACTACCTCACTTATTAATCCTTCTTTTTTCTTTCAAAAAGCCAACCCCAGATCAATCCAAATGGCTATGGTTGATCATTATATACCCAGACTAGTAGCTCTGCATGGTTAAAACTAATCCATGTACATTAGTGCCCGATTCAGGGTCTCCATGTTCATTTGGGCTCTTGATATTGTTTGCCATTTCTTCCACATATCTTCAGTTAACTCTTCTGATACTCACAATAATTACTTTGTACTTTACCACTTTCATCCAGTGTGATGGGTAAGTTTCTTACCCATCACAGCCCCCATCCTTTACTTCATAGAAAATAGATGCTCAGATGACCATGTTAAATGTTCTTCACAAAGAACAACACATAGAAAATTAAACTGGAAAAAGATTTATAATATTCATAATAGGCAATGGGCTATTTATAATATAAAACAGACATAAATAAGAAAAATATTATATTTTCATTTAAAAAGAAAACAAAACATTTTCATTTAAAAATAGACAAAGAACATGACCATTTATATGACTGGCTAAAGTTTGGATGAGATATCATTTTTTCATCCATCAGTCTACCCAACGTTGGGCATAGGAAGGACTTGTTTGACAAGTATGCAAGGAAATTGCTATTAACTGCAGGTGGTAGAAATAAACAAGTTATACCAATTTGGGTACATATTGCTAGAATTTAAAAATTTAATTCCACTTTTAGGAATTCATCCAAAATATTTGGAACTGATTTTTTTCTTCTAATTTTATAGAAGAAAGTGGAGATAGACTATTAAGCTGAACACTGATGTGTGAGTAACAGCTATTTGTAGGGTCTAAGATATATGAAATAAGCCAGTCAAAAGAGAAAATACATTCAGAGAGGTAGGTGAGAAATCAGAAAGTGCAATACCAAGGAAATCAGACAGGAAATGGAATTCCAACAGGAAATCAACAGTACTAACATCTATAAGAAATCAATTAAAATGATTTTCAAATGGATAAAATGTGCTGACTCATTTGAAAGCTGATATTGTTAATACTTGTGGGCAGCTACTACCCGCAGCTATGTGGGGGTCACACTGCTTTTTGCATTTTCAGCCTTGAGGGGCCTGCTGTCCATCAGTGCTGTGGGCGCCATCCTCTTCGCCCTTCTGCTGGTATCCATCTCCTGTCTCTGCCCTTTCTACCTCATTCGCCTGCAGCTGTTCAAGGAGAACATCCACGGGCCTTGAGAACTTCTTTGACACTTAATATCACTTTTGGAAATTGTAAAATGCACCTGTTGCTAACCAACTGGGTAAACCTCCATGATGAGTAAATACACATACATATTTACTGTTGTTGCCTTTTTAAAGTCTCTTGTATTCAGATTTAAACCAAATGATAAATAGATCTAAAGTTTGAATCTCAGGCTTTTCACTAGGCAACGTTGCATTGGTATTTTGCTCTAGGCTATCAAAATAAAAACTATTTGAGAAGTTGGCTGCTGCTTTCATCTGGAAAGTCCAGGGAAGGGCCCCGAGCTGCTGCTGGGAAAGAGAAATTGTTCTCTGGCCCGTGAGCTGGTGTGTTTGTCTGGTGAGTGGCTTCAGTGGTTTCATCCATTGCTGAAAGAGCCAAGAAAAAGGGATAAAACGGGACTGTAACCCAGACCACAATGAGCGGGACAGGAACAGTAGCCAAGTGAGTGTTTTGTTTGTGTGCTGCCTCTCCTGGCACATCAAATTGCTGCAGATTATATGGGCTTTTAATCATTATTTAAATATGAGCGATTCAGCCTTGGCATTCACTGGGTTTTTATACCACTTGTGGATAATCCACAGGTGCTAGCACATCTAACTCCAAATTACGATTTCTCAATGCATAGTGTGTCATGGCAGGAAGGATAAACACCTCCCAGTGTATATTAGATCTTCACAGAGAGAAAAGGCTAGATAAAACACCTAGAATCTGATTTTTGCCTTCAGTTAGTCTCTGGTTAAGCACTGACTTCATTTCAAATCATGAAAATAGGCTGTAGACATATCACAATTTGGATCTCTGAGATTCAGATAGTTCAACACTGGGCATTGAAAATTCTCTCTTCTAAGTCTTTTTTCCCTTGTTCCTGAAGTACTGAGGAATAAAAGCGAAAAAAACTTTTATAAGAATATTCTATTAAAAATACCAGACTCATTAGCAAAGATAATAAAGAACAAAACTCAGTTTTTATGGAAATCACATAAGGAAATATGAAGATGTAGACTTATTCTCTTTGGTAAGAGAGAAGATTGTCCCATATCTTCTGGATGAAAATAGAAACCCAAAATTTTAATTCTTTATTGACTTAGCAATTATGCTTATAGGAATTTATCGTAAAGATCTAATAAGATAAGTGTCTAAATATCTAAGTATAAGGATAATTGTAATATGATTTATACTGTAAAAATTTAAACAACCTAAACATTTAACAGTGATTAAATTGTATTCCACTCTATAAATTTTACAGATTTAATCAGTCCTTTAAAATGTGTGGAAACATTTGATATGGGAACATGTCATATGTTCTTTTCCTCACTAACATTTTAATATGAAAAATTTTGAAAATGACAGAAGAGTTGAACAAAATGTACAGAGAATATCTACATAATTACCACCTAGATGCTGTAATTAACATTTAACTATATGTGCTTTATCATATATCTATCCACCTGTTCATCTCTGTCTCCATCTATCTTTTTTATGCATTTTAAAGTAAGAGGCAGACATCAGTTTACTTCCCTTTAAATACTTTAGCATGTATATTATTAACTAGAGTTCAATTTTGTTGTTCTTTTCTTAGGTAAAATTTACGTACAATGGAATGTACAGATCTTAAGTGGACTGTCAGATGAGTTTCATACATGCATACATCTGTGTAACCCAAACCCCTATCAAAAGATAGAACATTACAACCACCCTAGAAAGTTCACTTTTGTCCCATCCTCACTTCCTAACCCATTCTGCCAAGGCAACTTTTCTTATTTTTTTTCATCATAGATGAGCTTTACCTGTTCTAGAACTTCATATGAGTGGACTCATACAATGTGTACTCTTTTGAGTAAAGCTTCTTTCACTTAGCATTAATTTTTGAGATCCATCTATGTTGTTGTGTGTGTAAGTGGTTCATTTCTTTTTATTGATAAGTAATACTCCATTGTATAAATGCACCATATTTGCTTATCTATTCTCTTGTTTATGGACACCTGGGCTAGGAAAAATGTAATGTTCATAAGTGAAAAGGAAGACTGCAAAATAAGATAGATCATATGTTTTCATATTTGTAAAACACACAGGCACTCAAATATATATCTATATGCATAGATATATATATATATGTATATGTAGATACATATGTATATCTATATATACATATGTAGATATATAGATATAAATATCAGTTTGTTTATCTGAGATTCAGATTGTTGGAAATATATACAAAATAATATAATATATATTTTATATATAATATATAATGTATAATATACGTATATCATTTTCTGAGAGCTTTCTATGTAGGTAGTACTTAAAAGCTTTCAATGTAAATAGTACTCAAATGTTATTTTATATGTAATATGTATTTATATTAATATCAAGTATTAATACTTGAGTATTAAATAAATATATATGTATGGCATATTAATAAATATGTATTATATATGCAGTATATATCATTTATGTATTTAAATAAATATATATTTTATATTTAGTATATATGCTAAATAAAAAACATTTTCGAGTACTATTTACATAGAAAGCTATCTAAGGATAGTTGCCAACACTATATCACTATAACAGGCCATCTCCTCAGTGGTAGAATTTTTTTTTTTGCTTAAATGCATTCTAACTTCTATAATTAACATTTAATAACTTAACATTATTTCTTTTTATTATTAGATTGCATGTGATGGGACCCTAGGGAGCAGAGATTGAAAAGAAAACATGGATCTGTAACACAAGTCTCCTTCCCTGAAATCAGTGGGAAGAACAGAATGTAACTGCTTGGCTGGAAGAGCTGTGACATGATCGTCTCCCCACAGAGAGAGGTCTGGTTACTGTAAAGTGACCAAAGTGCCGTCTGTGGAGAAACAGCTTATGAAAAACTCCTCTCTAAACAAAGACTCAGACCGGAGTCCTGTGCCTTGATTAGAAAGCCACCTCATAAAATTCCCCAAAGTTATTTTTTCTCTACAAAGATTGTGAATTAACCTTTTGTTGTTTCCTAGGGGTGAAGAAAAAAATGAAACATTTTACTAAAGGTGATTGAAAATAAGAGTGACAAGGAAAAAGGAAAACTCTAGTTTGCGTGAAAGGATAAAAAGATAATGCTAACTAAATGCATTGCATCATCTCATCTTTAAAGCCATGCCAGGTACACTGGCAAAGTAGGAATAGTTAGGTGATTGGGACTTCGCAGAAATCATGGAAAGTGATAGCTTAGAACCCTTGTACCCTTGTTCATAAACCAAAACTCTCCCTGCTATATCTGTTAAGGACCCTCGATTACATTATTATACTATTTAAAACATTTTTTAAGTTATATCTTTAAAAAAGGTGATATTTGTCATTAAAGCTAAAAGGCAAAAGGAGTCATTTGAAATAGACAACAGTCTTCAGGAAGATGCCGAGAAGAGAAAGGAGCATCAGACTTTGTGTTCCAGCCTTCCTGAGGAACCAGGTAGTTCAGTTTCCCGTTCTTGCAAAACAGATGGTAGGCTGAAGAGCCAGCCCTGATTTTTCTCTCTCCTTTTCTTACACAGAAGGGAAGTGATTCAAAAGCTCAGTATTATTTGTGAGGTAGGAACAGAACACAGACTTTCTCATTTTTGATTTGAGAGTCATATATTGAATGCAGCTTAGGCAGAGTCACTTGAGGGCCAGCAGAAACCTTGGTTCCATGAGTACCACAGGTCTCCCTCTGCATTTATCTCATTATGCAAAAAGAGTCCAATGACTCTTTAGCCGATCCACTGTGTGAGAGCCTCAGAGAGCAGCCCTTACAGCCACAGGAGGACCAGGGCATCCTGTAGCTCCAGGATGTAGATCTGGCAGAAAGATCATTTGGCCAAGTAGGCAAAGTGCTGGATGTGGAGTCAGAAGATGAATTTAATCCTGGGCCTACCCAGGGCATCAGGGCACTTAAACTCTCAAGTGTTAGTTTCCTAATATGGGTGGAAAATATGTCAAATAAAATACTTATCACATGAAAGCACTTGCTATAGATCACAGTTTTAATATCCCCTATTAGAATGATGAATTCAGATTTTTTGTTAGTGCTCATTTGTTTAACACTTTTTGCTAGGCATTGATGACTATATAAAGACAATTTAATGATTGAAAATCTAGACTCCAGAGTTAGACTATCTCAATTTGAATCCCAGCTTCACCATTGATTATCAGCAGGAGATTGGGAGATTATTTAATCTCTTTGCTCAGTTTTCTTCTCTGTAAAGTGAGGATGGTAAAAGTACCTTCTTCACAGGGTTATTTTAAGTATTAAATTAGTTAATATATGTAAGACACTTTGAACAGCTCCTGGCCCATAGTAGGTGTTATATATTTGGCTATTATTACTGTTATTAGATATGATAAAGACAGGAATAATTACAGAGAGTAAAATAACTATGTATCCATGTGCTATCTTGATGGAGGTATGGGGCCAAAAAAAAAAAAAAAAGCAATAGTCAATTTGTATATGAGCTAGAAAGTTTATATGAACTAATTTGCCATCAGAATTAATCAACCAGCCAAGAATAGCTATGTACACCACCCAAAGAAATGTAAAGCAACTGTTAATCTGCTCAGGCTTTCTAGGTCTGAGCTGATGCAGTGTCCTGTGATGGCATATGATTAACCAGGGCCATGGATCCCTTTGACTCTGTCAGCTGCCACAAGTAGCAGCTTGGGGAAAGGGGGTTGGCTGGGGAGGGGTCACAGGAAAAGGGCTGTAAGCTCTTTATGGTTAACTCAGGAGCCAACTTCTTTGACCCAGTCTGACTGTCTGTATAATCCTTTTTCTTCTCAGAAGCACAGCAAAAGGTATTCTGACCTTTTCCATTGCACCTCCCTATTCTTTTCAACAGATTTATTTCTCCTTGGGTAACGATTAAGAAGTATAAAAGAATTGCACAACATTTACCTTTTCTGCCTTCACTTAAATTATACTGATATACTGGCCACAAATCACCAGCAATTAAAAAAACAGGAGTCTGCCAGGAGTCAGTTGTTGGGGTAGAGAACACATGCTACAACCAGTTGGAGAAGGCAGGGCAAGATTGAGAAGGCAAGCCAGAATCAGAGACCAGCCGTCAATATGGAAATTTCTAAGCTGCCTAAGGATGAAAACAAAGACCAAAAAAGGAACCAGCTGAAGCAAGAAGCAAAAGGTGGTGGTGGAAGAATTATTGAATTATTTCTAGATAATATTTTAAGATATAGAATCATCTTTTTAATAAATAGAATTAGGCCACATTCACAGTTATCCTGTGAGACTTTTTCTTTTAAGTTTGTTTCTGTTTTGTTTGTTGGTTTATTTTGTTTTTTAGATTCCACATATAAGTGAAATCATATGATGTTTGTCTTTTTCTGACTTTTTTCACTTAGTTTAATACATGTAACACTTCTTAAAGATACCAGTTAGCTGAAATTGACAGAAATAATTTTTTTACACTACTTACTTTTGGGAAGAAAGTTATTGATTCTCAGGAAAAAACTAAAAACATACCAGTATTCTGAAGGGAGAGAGAAATTCTCAGGATTTTTTGTTTTTTTTTTAATTTAAATGTAATTAACCATTTGTGGAACAGACTGTCCATGCAGAAAGCCCAAAGAACCATGAAGTTGAGCCAAACAGCATGATGAGAGGGGTGAGGTGTCTGGAGGCAAGATGAAAGACCCTCCCTGGCATCAGGATTGAGTGTCACCTCTCTCTTGGTTCAGGTGGACACCAAGAGCTTGGTCTCTGTGATACCTCCTGCATACAGTACAGAGGCATTCCCCTTCCAAACTGCACTGCCCTTCTTGATATCAAGAATCCAGCCTCTTCTTAAAGAGGCCTTATGGCTGTTTTGGGTCATTGAAAGGAGGGGCAGTTCAGATAAGACCGTGCAGTCTCAGGACACAGGCAGTTCTTCCTGACAAATGATCAACAGGTGATAGAGGGAGCTTTCCCTTTATGATAACCAGGAGAACAACCAATATTATCCTCTAGAAATATAGTACACTCTGTAATTATTAGATCAAGATGGACAGTGATCTCTCTAGTGGAAGCTAAGCCAGCTCCCAACTCTCGTTCATCTAGTCACTTCAGGTATAGTCCCCTGCGTGGGGCTCTACTGACCTCTCTGAGGTCATGTCTTGTCCCCATTCCAGCCCTGTCTTCCCTTATGGGGAGATAGTCACCCAGTTTTTCATCAAATCTCTTTCTAGGCTATGATTTATGTCATAGTCTATCCTTGATTTCTTAGTTTTATTTTTACTCTCAAAGTTTGTGTTGACAATGTTATTTTTTTAAAAATCATTAATTTCTTCATCACTTGTCAGGCTGGCTGACTGATACTCATGGTTGATCTTTGTTTCTGTTCTCCAACTCCATGCCCACATTCCCCCTAAAGAACTCCAGATATATCAGGACAGTGCTTTTTCCCCGCTGCCCCACACAGTTCACCTTGCACACATACATTGAGATCTAGAGACCCTCAAGCAAGAACCTGATAAAAATGACCTCCCATTAGAAGTTCAGACATATCCTCCCTAGGAAATAGATCCTGGGGACAGACAACTATATAAGGTTCAGTGAAGTCTCCTACGTTTAAAATTCAATTCCCCCGAACTGGTAGGTGATGCTTTATGGTAGGTGATGCTTTCAAATACTGGCTTTCTTTTTTATTAGGTAAGTATAATCTACTTTAGGCCCTAGTCCCATGACCCCATTATAAAATACCCAAGCATTTCAATCTCTATCTCAGTGTCCCTAAAGCTGTCTTAATTCTTTTGAGTTGGGGTTGGAAATAAAGAGCCCTTCCTTATTTCCAACCCCAACTCAAAAGAATTAAGACAGCTTCTCCTACCCACAGAATCCCCAAACTGCTATAGCAGTCCAAACTTTGATAGATTCAACCTTTGAGGATTTAAGAAGTGAAGGATGAGATGAAAGAGGAAACAAAGAAAGACCTCAAAAAAGACTCGTTCCTGCTTAGACAATGAGCAAACAGAATTAGAAGTCAACACATAAGCCACCTCAGATCCATGTAGAAATGAGTGTGAATGTGGGGAGCAGAGTAAGACATCTAATCGTTTATTCTAAGTTTCAAGTCATAGTCTCTTTTCTTTCATTCTCCCTTTTATCAGCCCAAGTTTCCTCAATGATTCCCTTCACGTAGGCAATTAAGAGTCATACAGTTCCTTCTTCATGTCACTGTGGAAAGCAAGTTCCAATTAGCATAATCAGGAGGTCCTCACACTGGCTTATCCAGAGAAACTGAGCAGGGTCAAAGTTCTTTAGTTCCTCATATCTGGGGTCTATGAGAATGTTTCAAATCCCAGCTATATTAGGTAAACTTTCACTTTTGGAGAATACTTTTAAAGGACTCCATTCCTGTAGGTGATTCTGGTTTAAATCAGTGTATATGTGTCCAGAGGGGGGAGGAAGTTCTGCTCCAGTTCATTGCTCTAACTGGTCTGGGGTATGGCTGAAGGCTTCCAACTGGAAGAGCCTGGAAGTCCATGTTTTCTCTTTTGGCCACTTCAAGAACCATTTAGAAATGTAGCAGTCATGATTTGCTAAGTCATTATTGAAAAATTTTCTAGATATTTTAGATTTGAGATAAATGCATTACATACAGGAAACCCTGATCTGTGAACTGAATAGAAATATACTTCTCCAAAAGAAGTGGGAAAACTTTTTTAGCACATTCCTCCTTTTGATGTTGACCCATCTTGACATGGTATAACATTCTATATTTAGATCAGTGATGTTCATTCAAGCTAATGACTATGAGTTAATTTACTCATAAAGAAGAGTTAAAAGAAGAGTCCAAATACAAGTAAGGGCACTTGTTTCAACACAGTGAACATCGCAATAACAATGTGTTTGCATTCCTTTTATAAGTTAAGTAATTTTAATATTTCTTAAGCAAACCTTCAAAGTTTTATATTTTGTAAATTAAAATGTATCTAGGAAAGTAGTGAAACATAACATCAAGAAAGTATTTCTAGAATTTTGGAATAGAAGGGAATCTTATAAATAAAGGAATTGAACACTAAAATAGAAGATTAAAGTAAATAATGGATTTACCAATGTCATAGGTATCAAAACAATAGAATCCATTCTGATTTATTTTTTTCTCTTTGAATTATGAAATATTTCAAATACACAGAATGGAGAACATAATACAACATCTTGATATAAAGTTTTACCGTATTTTAGTCAAGAATTGTTTAATCTGAATTTTAAAACCCTAATCATGCCTCACTGATCCTATTTCCCTGTCTCCCTTCTCTGTTAACCATTCTTCTCAATTTGCTGTTTATCATTTCAGGCATGTTTTAATACATTTAAATTATGTTTAATTATCCATAAATATATGTATAATATTTCATGCATTTAAACTTTTTCTGTTGGTAATTTTTTGTCTTTGTATTTTTTGCAATTTGGAATTCTATATAATAAAGAACATAAAAAATAATGTTGAAAAACAGCCACAGAATGAGAAAAAATATTTGCAAAGACATATATGATAAAGGACCATTATACTATACAAAAAACTCTTAAAACTCAACAATAAAGAAAACAACCTGATCAAAAACTAAGCCAAATACAACTATAGACTCCTCACCGAAGTAAATATGCAGATGGCAAATAAGCTCATGAAAAGATGCTCCATATCATATATCATCAGGAAAATACAAATTAAAACAACAATGAGCTGCCACTGCATACCTGTTAGCATGGCCAAAATCTGGAACACTGACAACACCAGAAGCTGTGAGAATGTGGAAAAACAGGAATTCTCATTCATTGCTGATAGGAATGTAAAATGCTATAACCACTGTGGAAGACAGTTTGGCAGTTTCTTACAAAACTAAATATACTCTTACCATAGGATCCAGCACTTGCGGTCCTTGGTATTTACCCAAAGGAGATGAAAACATGTCCACACAAAAACCTGCACATGGATGTTTAAAGTAGCTTTATTCAAAATTGTCAAAGATTGAAAACAATTGAGATGTTTTTCAGCAGTCAATGGGTAAATAAACTGTTGTACATTCAGACAATTGAATATTATTCAGGGCTAAAAATAAATGAGGTATCAAGTCACCAAAAGATGGGGAGAAACTTTAAATACTTATTACTAAGTGAAAGAAGCCAAATATGAAAAGTCTCCATACTGTATGATTCCAATATATGATATGCAAAAAAAATTGCAAAACTATGGAGACAGTAGTAGGTTTCCAGGGTTTGGCAGTGGGAGGATAAATAGGCTGAGCATAAAATGTTTTTAGGACAGTGAAAAAACTGTTTTGTACCATAATCACGTATACAAATCATTTTATATTCAAATCTACAAAATGTAAAACGCCAAGAGTGAACTGCAAGGTAACCTATGGACTTTGGGTGATTACGTATCATTGTAGGTTCATCAATTGTAACAAATGTACCATTCCGATGGAGAATGTTGATAATGAGAAAGGCTATGCATGTGTGGGAGCAGGGAGTATATGACAGTCTCTCTACTTTCCCCTCAATTTTGCTGTGAACCTAAAACTGATCTAAAATATAGTCTTAATTTAAAAGTCTTTTAAAAAGTTAAGCCTGATTATAAAAAATATGATATTATATATGTATTTTATATATATTTATATGGAAGTATTGATGATGTATAAATAACTTACCACTTTTATTTTCTGGCTTGAGCTACTAGGTATGTAAGATATGAGATCCCAAGATATAAGATTTCCAGAAAGCGAATGTGAACATCAATATTTGAAAGATGGATGGAGCAGCCACAGAGAAGTCAGAAGGAACAGAACCATAGAAGAAAAATAGAGGAATGTGATGTTATCATAGAGGATCATCAAAGGATTGGAGTAGTTGACAGTGTCAAAAGTGACAGACACTATTTAAGGAAATATGACAACATTCAGTTTTCACATAGAAAGGAATGAGAGAAACTGAAGAATTTATTTTTACCACAGGACATGCAAGCATTCCACTCTTTGCTCGGTCGACAGTCCCAGGCATATAATTAAGTTCTTTTATTTAGAGAAACTTATGTGAGAATATCCACAATAAAATAATTTCAGACTTATAATTCTTCATATTAGTAATCACTAGAAACTAATGCAGAGTACAATTTCTTCTTATCTATTATTTTCATCTATAAGAATATTACTTAAAACTATACTACAAGGCTACAGTAATTACAAAAGCACAGTACTGGCATTGAAAAA